TCGTATTTCGATTGCTTAAGCATTTTTTGCTTTAGCCATAGGACCGCAAGTAAACCTTTGGAATTTTCTGGAAGTGTTGATGTTGCCTTTCGCTATAGACCACTGTGTTAGAATAACATCGGAAGAGGAATTGTGTAGTGTTCTTCGAATTGCATAGAACAGTGGTTCCCCCTCCTGTGCAATTCAGCAACAGAGCTGCAAAGGCAGGTTGAAGTTGAAGTTGGCTTCGGTGCGTTTATTGCGCTCTGCGTGGTCCCTGTAGTTTTACCGTCGAAATCAACTCCGTCTAAGTGTACTTGTGTGTGGCATTTTTCTGGTTTCCTTCAATGTGTGTGACTAAGCTACTTCTGTTGCACTGTCAGAACACATTCTCCATCTCGGTAGCTAGCACATATGCACACTCACAGAGCCACCATGCGCTGGTGCTGCTACCGGTCGGTTCCTGCATTTCGTGGTAGTGACATGTATGCTCTCGTGTGCTGGTTGGTGCCCCTTCCCGATTCCGAATGGTTGTTAATACTGCTTGAGAACCTCATTGCGGGATAAAGGACAACATTTGGACGAAGCACTTATGACTCATTCTCCCTTCATGGATACCTTTTTGCCCTTTTCACAAATCTTCTAGCCGTGTTCTTTGTGTTATCATTCACAAAAGCTCACTACTTGTGCCAGATCCTCTGATAGCCTTTGAATCTAGTTAATAACTGGAGTTATGATTAGATCCACTTAAAATAAAGTCTATATGCTGAAATCGCTCTCATTCTGCTTTGTAGCCCAGATAGTTATTCAACTCCACCTATTCACGCCACCTCCTCCACTCTTGCATCACATGGTCGAGTTGTACCGTCACGTGCGAAAGGGTGGGTTACCGCCACACGCAATGCGTACGTGGTTTGCCAATGTGTGTGCTTGTGTTTCGCACCTTTGAGGCATGAATAACCATTAACATTCCTTCTACTACTTTGTTGACTCGAAAATAGGTGTGTGACTTCTACAAGCATTTCATTTCCTTCAAACAGTCAAACGGGAGGCTTATAATCATCCAAGATTCGCAGCCAAATGGCACATTCATGTGACCTGAAATTGGATTTATCGCGAGGTCACGTACAGCCACCTTGAGATGACGCATCACTAGGATGTGTTCACTTGAGGTCACCTTTTTTACTGCTCTCGGGGATATTGGAGAACGGTTTATGATGACCACGTTAACGACGCGGTCTTCTCACCCGTCACCTTTCAGGTTACCAGGATCCCTACCGAGCCCGTCTCACTCCTACCGAAGCGGTAGATTTGGATTTAGCTGAGTCTATGGAGAGCTCTCTTCCCTACTGCACCTTTACCAATCGTGGTCTTGCTCTCGTCTTTCCACTTTGCCCTCGTCTCTCCAGCCTCACCATCCGACATGCGCCCTACATCACCCGTTTTCCCCGTATTGATCAACTACTTCCTGCGGAAGCTGCGGCACAAACAGTAGCTCCTGCATCAACTTCACAACCTTCAGTTTCAATCTCCATACCTGTTCCGCAACAGTTCCCGCAATCAACAACATCAACGGTTCTTACATCACAGCCGCCTCAAATATCAACGCCATCATCAGGGCCAGTTAAAGTCATCCCCAACACTGTATATCGTTCTTCTCTTCCCTTGAAATCTCTAACTCTAGAAAATTGTCCTGGCATCACCGCATCAGAACTGGAGAGTATTCTTGCAAAAGGTGATCCCTTTGGTTTTTTGGAATCTCTTGTTCTGCGTGACATGTTTCCTTTGAGTCGAGAGACTGTGTTCATGGGTCCTGCCTACCACTGGTCTCAGCGATGGTTGCTCGATTCCAACACAATTTCCGGAACTTGCGTTGGAGGCGAAGGGAGGGAACTTTCAACTAGTCCTGATTATCGGAAATTGGGTCTACTTCTTTCTATCGCGGACCTCCTCTCATCTCGTCTAGTCGGCTATCCACCCATCTCTCCTGTCGGTATTGGAATGGGTTCGTCGGTTCGAGATGTCTCGCACTCAGCCACTACCACCGGTCTTCGTGTCTATGAGCTCCCTGTCCAGCCTTTTGACATCTTTTTCACCCTGCGAACTCATACTTACTTGACTTCGCTTCTTCAAATGGACGGCACATGTGGTCGTCGTATCTTCGGTCCCTGCAGGATCCATCGTCTACTCCTTGACAGTACTCTGATTGAGAGTTCACCAGAAGTTGGGGTAGATAAAGAAAAAGAAGAAAAAAGCGCCTTCTTTGTCTCCCGCTCCACCCAGACTTGTGTGTGTGGTCTGCTTGAGTGGGATTTTGTCCAGCGCCTCCACGTGGAATCTGGGCCTTCGCAGTTACCACCGGCAGACCCCAAAGACCAGGGTCTGTACCAGCATCAACATCAGTTGGGCGGTCCACTGGCCTTTCATCCCTTCCCTGTGCTTTTGCAGCACAATGCGCTGTATCAAAAACTCATCTGCTCGGACTGGGCGGATAAGATATGCGCCACAGCAAACTTTGATCGGCTGCGGGATAAGCAGTGTTCTTTCGTCCGGCCTTTGTGTGGACCTGGCGAGTGCTTCGGATGTGGTTCGGGTTTTGCAGTGAGTAATCCTCTGCATTCGAATCTTTCTCGTCGATTTCCTTGAATAAGTACTGTGTCTTATAGAAGCCTTTAGTCGGATTCACTTGGTTTTGTAATTGTGTAAATTCTCCTCCCCAATTGTGTCGCTGCTTCATTGCCTCTAGACTTGTCATGTTAAAGGTATCTAGACGTTTCAATATGCGGGAGGAACACAACTGTTTTCGTCATGGTTGTAAGCAGTTCATGTACGGACGTTTCTGAGTACCGAGTCAAAGTGGTGAGCTCATTGGTGAGCCGTTTCCGAAGCTACCTATAATTCGTTCGTTCCCAACGTCAAGTGCGCCTGACGACAATTTCACTACCTGTGTCTGCAGTTGAAGACGTTCTATGCGTTCCTTATTGTTTTATGATGACAAGTTGAATTTAAAATACCAAGGTGTGGAAGAAATGGATTTGTCCATGGAAAGGTGGTGTTTCAGTGGAACAAGTATCGCCGTCAATCTACCAATAAAAGATTCGGCTCGTAATGGTTGGTTCCACTCTGCGACATAACCTGGTAGCAACGTTATCAGAAAGCAATCTTATAATCTGCGGGTCGTAGACGCCAGATTATGCGACTGAAATGACTTATTTAAATTATTTACTCAACATTCTGCATAGTTTCGGACTTCCCCATTCGTAGGTGTTAGGTTCATAGGGCAATGAACTGAGTTGACTAGCGCCTTAGTTTTCCTCGAAATTGTATCCTTCTTAGGAACCGCCTTCAAAAACACAACTGGAGCCATCACTTCATCACACTCCACGCGTTTGGACGGCTCGTGATGCTTGTGTGGACACGAGCGAGTTGCGCCAATTTGTAGGTCCCAAGGCGTGCGTGCTAACCCTGCGTCAACCCATCGCATCGCCCCTCAGCTGTCTCACCACACTGCACTTTGAGCGTGTAGGTCTCACCCACCTAGTGCTCTCCAGCGTACCACGATTGAAGAATATCACGCTGGAAAATTGTCCAGCTCTCACCGCCATACTGTTCCATGGCGTCGCATCCGGTGCTCCCGCCACTGCTATCACCGTCCCCTCCCCTTCCTCCACTGTCTTCCCGCCTTGTATCCCCGTGAAGATGACCAATCCGGTACCCTTCCTCCGACGTGTTCGCATTATCCGATGTCCGAAATTCGCTATTTACAATTGGCTCGGTGCTGTCGCTGCCCTCTATCCCTATCATGAGGAGAATATATTTATCACCTTCCGGTGAGCCTGTTTTTTCACAAATAAGTCGATTCAGAAAACCACGATCACTTGTTTTTCGGGAAGATCAACTTTTCCTGACTTTGACGGTTTAAGAGTGATTATGGAGAGAGGTTTTAATACAGACTAGACTCTGTGTCTATCAGGACTAGAATTCATATCCATTTTATTTAAAAATCAAATAAGATTTAATCGAAGTTAGTATGTAACGTGGCTCATTTATCTGTTACTTTGGCTGTTTTCTTTTCGTGCTTATTGCACCTTCTCAGGGAGTGGTTTTTCGTCCATCATGCACGTATAGGATCTACCAAGCCTCTTAATCGTGATTCAAGGGGCGCCGCTATTCCCATTTCAACTCTTTTAGTATATTCTTACAGGTTGCATCTTTACTCATAGTTTTCGATCCTGTATTATGACGTTTCCTCCTCCTGGATTTTGGACTAGATCTTTCAGTCATTTTATCTATAATCTGCCTTAAAGTGGTGATTTGAGGCTTTACAGCCTATCACAGCACTTTGCGCATTCTACAGTAGATAAGATGCAATTATTTGTACCTAATCATTTTACTTGAGCGAAGGACTCATTTCTCGCCACTTTCGTTTCCATCTGGCATTCATCACCCCAGCTTCTGTTCCACTTTCTCTTCTACGACCTGGCGATAGTGGTAAGGGAAGATGACACTTGTCACTTATACAAACCATCTCGGGGACGTGGCGATGAATGTCTTCGTAGGGAACACTCACAAGGTCGGTCGTCCTCGGAGGCTGTCGTTGCCACTCTTGCCACCCGTTGCCACCTTTTTTTATCACTGAAGGCATATGATGGGTCGTCGAACGATTCGCCACTGGAATCAAGTTGAATAGATCATTTCTGGGCAGATCTACCACCACGCTCACATTGCAGCTTTTGGACCAACTTAATTCCTCACATAGTATTTTAAACGGAGTTGAATTTCTAAAATGGCATAATTGAAGGGCGTGCAACAAGGGCTGCCTGGTGGACATCTGGGGGAGTTCGTTCCACGCATTTCTGCGTTGAAATTTGCAAATTCGTTTTGTTATGGCATGGATTTGTACTAGGCCGCATGCTGTCTTTCGCATGCACCTTGATACATGCAATCCACGTGATAGGTCTCATTTATGTCTGTTGCTATCCATCCGCCTGTCCGCCCGTCTCACCATTGACGAATCCATTTTCTACATGACTTGCCTCCCTGTGTCCACGTAAACACTGGAATTGGGGCTCTGGAGGGTGGGGAACGTATCCCCCCTTAAACACATTTTGCTCAGACTCAAAGTTGCAGGTTTGGTTCTTTTCGAAGGATGAACTTGGGCAGGATTTGTGAGGCGTTTTCGCTTGCATAAAATTTTGGTCATTCAATGAAATAATCTCGTGGCTTTTTATTTAATTTGCTCCAAAGATGTAGCCATAAAACCTCCACCTTAACACCTTGGTGTTAAAATTTGCAGCGTCGAAGTTAATTACACCACGTTGGAAGCAAAGATGGCCTCGTGCAGAGTGGATGTTTGTGCAATGCTGTTAAATCGTGGCTCACTGGAAGCGGAAGCTGTTCGGTGCGCCTGTCTGGCAAGTGTGCCATCAATCCTGAGCAAATGCGGTTGTGGTTGGACAGTTTAATATTGCGGTAGCTCTCGGTCTTTATCAAAAAACTATTGCTTTGGGAGACAGTTTTGACACTTATGCGGAGAAGTTGTCAGAAGCTAGATTGTCAAACATCGAATTTGTTTCCTCAAGCGTCTTGTAGACAATACGAATGTGTCTAAGTGTACCGCATGAGAAGGGAAATTCGCCTGTCTTTAAAGATCAAGTCTTCTCAGGAACGG